AAACCTATATTAGGTCGAACCGAAGTGAATTAGTTTGAAAAAAAAATTAGCGCTTCAACAAGATTTCTTCTTCTTCTTCCTCAATCGTGGTTACCCCATGTAAGCGAATCTTTGAAACTCTACTACACTGCTTTGTATGTATGTATATATTTACAATTAGCATTCTAGGGTTTGTGGGTATCTTGCTATTTTCTTATTTTGTTACAAATCGTATAGTTATTCATTCATGGCTCGACAATCAGTTCTTTTGTTTATAGATTTGTTCCGCTTATACGCGTAATTTTAACTTGTTTCTTGTTTTTGGGTTGGGTGTTTTTAATCTGAATTGTTTATACACGTAGGTTTATTTGATTAGGATTCAAAGTTTATTCTGTGATGTTCTGTAAAGTTTGATTATACAGTTGGGTTATGTGGGGTTACCGAATTTTTGTTTCTTGTTGCAGTTTTAGGGGATTCTTGAAGTTCAACTATGATTTACACGGCAATAGACACATTCTATCTAGCAGAGGAGCAGCTTGTAGACTCTCCTTCTAGGAAAGATGGAATTGATGATGTTACAGAAACAGCACTTCGAATCTACGGTTGTGATCTCATTCAAGAATGTGGAATTTTGCTCAGATTGTATCCTTTTTTTTATGTGAGTTAATATGAAGGTATATGAATCATAACAACTGGGTTGATTTTTGCTGTTACTTTCCTGATATAAAGTTCACTGCATTTGGCTTTGGGTGTCTCCTTAACACGATAATTTTCAGACCTCAAGCTGTAATGGCCACTGGTCAGGTGTTATTTCATCGCTTTTACTGCAAGAAATCATTTGCCCGTTTTAACGTGAAGGTTTCTTTCTTTTCCCCTCTGTCCCAACTCCTACTTCCTTCAAAAGTTTTTGTGTGTTACTCGTTCCTGATGCGGGGTTGTTTTGTCTTAACTTGCAGAGGGTTGCTGCTAGTTGTGTTTGGCTTGCATCAAAACTTGAAGAAAGCCCGAGAAAAGCAAGGCAAGTGCTTGTTGTTTTCCACAGAATGGAATGTAGGAGAGAAAACTTACCTATAGAACATCTGGATACATCTTCGAAGGTTAGATATCTCATTTACCTGAGAAAATAGTTTATTTCTATCTACATGTTAGTTTGCAATAATATTTCCAGTATGGTAAGATCAATGTTTTGATACAATTGCAAGTCACCAGACCTCATTAGAGGCTGATAATGTCGCTGCAAGCCTCCTGTTATTAATTCATAAGTAAAATCATCTATCTGCAGCTTCCCTTTTTACCCTGGTTTTTTTAAGGGGCTATTCCTTCCGATGCATTTGTGCCCACCAAGTTTGCATTTCTTACATTCATTGGTGTTTGGGTTTTTTATTTATTGTAACAACATCAAGTTGATACATTCCATTGGTGTTTTCTCCAATATTTTTGGTCTCTTTTGCAGAAATATGTTGATTTGAAAGCAGACCTAATCAGAACAGAGAGGCATCTTTTGAAAGAGATGGGTTTCATCTGCCATGTCGAGCATCCTCATAAATTTATATCAAACTACCTTGCAACTCTTGAATCACCCGCAGAATTGAGACAAGAAGCTTGGAATCTTGCAAATGACAGGTGAGTATTGTTTAGGTGTTGTTATGTTTTCATTCTCAAAAAAAAATTGTTTAGGTGTTGTTATGTTTATCTGAATATGTTTTTTCATGTTGGTGTTGACAACAGAAAGTATTTCTTGAATTGCTACTAGTTATATTAGCACTTGATCACCGTCATGTATTATGTAGACATTTAACGCCTCAGTAGTTTAAAATTGTTGAAGCTATATTTGTGTTTTGGCCATCACACTTGAGCTGTACCATCTTCTTTTTTTTTTGGCAGCAGAAACTCTGATATTAGCTTGAAAATTGGTTAAATTTTTTAGTTCATACATTAGGTGTGGCATGATGAATATATAACAGTTATCAAGATCTATATCTGTCCTTTAAAAAATGAAATAGTCATGTAACTGATGTCAAAAAAAGATGTTCGAGTTTTAAGGAATCTACTCAAATTAAATGACTAGAAGTTTGACAAGCTTTTTCGTGGTTGTTTTTCTTTTGTTATGTCTTTCTCTTATCCATTCCGAATTTCTATGTTGTGAGGAATCCCATCTTACACTTCATTTTTCCAAATAAAGGAAATATATCCATCTCTTTCGTTTTATTATGCCATTGCTGGTTTTAAATTAAACCAGGTGATGCCTACATCCTTTTCCTTGTATTATTAACATATAGTTGAAGTATGTAAATAAGATGGTATCCGCTATACAGTAAGTACCTCTTTGGTGACATAGAGATATATTGTATATACCAAATCAACAAGAAAAATCAGAAACCCTCCATCATCATTATCTAAAATGTCCAAGCTAATCCTCGGCCCATGGTATCACTTTTGTTTTTTCAAACCTTTAATGGGATGTAGTGGGAAGTTACTTCTTTCATCAAGGTATCCTTTTTTTTTTTTTGGAATGTAAATTTTTTCTTCTAATTGATGTAATGGTACTCTTGGATGAAACTTTAACTAACAGGGCAGTAGTGATCAATAATTAATTGTCGATTGCCTAGAAATTTGTAATGTTTCTGAACCATAAAACCCTTTGGGTGCTTTTATTTGTGAGCAGTTTGCGCACAACACTCTGTGTAAGATTCAAGAGTGAGGTTGTGGCCTGTGGAGTTGTATATGCTGCAGCCCGTAGATTTCAAGTGCCCCTCCCAGAGAATCCTCCTTGGTGGAAAGCATTTGATGCAGACAAGGCTGGTATAGATGAAGTTTGCAGAGTTCTCGCTCATCTTTACAGTCTTCCAAAAGCAAAATACATTCCTGTATGCAAGGAAGGAGGTTCCTTTGCTACATCAAACAGATCAAGGGACTCACCATCGCTTCCTGTATCTAAGGTAAAAAGCACTTACCTGTCTTTCAATTTGATATCCATCTGCCATAGAACATGCCCAATTCGATATTAACCCCTTTCCTCCTTTTTTTCTTTGTAGGAAGGTTTGTTGGATGCTCCACCAGTGAATGAAGATACTGAGGAAGTCGCTAAGGAGGCAGTAACAAAAGCTGTCCTTGATAAGTTGAAGGACTCAAAGAAGAGTGATGAGGACTCGAAAAACATGCCTTCAGAAGGGGAGTCAAAAGAAGAGCCAGGAAGAACAGACCATAGAATAGATGCTGGTGGAGAAAAGAATAAGGAAAGAGAGAGGGACAGGGGCAGAGACAGGGAGAGAGAGAGGGATAAGGAAAGACTAAAGTCTCGTGAACGTGATAGGGGAAGGGAATCTGACAGGGAAAGGGAGAGGGACGACTTTGAAAGGGAGAGAGAAAAATCCAAGGAAAGGAGTCATCGTTCAAGAGACAAAGGTAAGTTCTGGTTGACTTGCGATTGTCTAATTTCCAGACTTCTTGACATTCATGTAGGTTCGTGAATGTTTAATGTCCAGTTTCTTCTATGTCTAATTGGCTAGTTTTTCTGCTTTGTCTTACTCAAGCTGATCTAAATATTGCAGGTCACTCAGAGAAACCAAAACATCACTCTTCTCGAGGTAAACAATATTATACTTTGTCTGATCTTTAGTCCTGACTCCTGATGAACTGTATTTGACAACTTTCTGTGTATGCAGATCGTGATTACCAGTCTTATTCATCCCGGGAGAAGGATCGTCGTAGACACCATTAACTTGGAACAGCCTGGCAAAGTGTACTCTCAACCACTTCAAGTTGTTAACTTGCTCCATTAAAGCTTTCTTTAAGTTTTACTTCACGATTTTCAGTAATCTGCATATGGAGGATTTATTTAATTGGAGGAAATGGTATATTATCCTCCACCTGTTGAAATTGGACCCATCATTCTCCTGCTTAAGCCACCTAAAAATATGTTTCTGGCTTAATGTTTCAGCCTTGCAGGTTGCCATGCCAAATTTGTTTGTCGTTTTTTCTGGAGCATAGCTGCAGTTCTTTGCATATAGCTGGAGTGCCTTCTTGGTGAAACTGTATCCCACACCTTTATATACAACTAAGGTCTCTTGTAATAGAAAAATTGGTTTTTAACTATTTTCGTTTAGTTCCCTTGAACAATTGACATAACCTTTGTTGTTCAAATAGCTTGTGTCTTAAAGCAGGATTTTTAACTTTCTGCACCACAGTTACATAAAACTGAAATTTCAGCTTGTCCAAGAAGGAAAGGAAAAATAGAGAGTAAACAACATAGCTATCATTTATATGTAGTTTGGTGCTCAGTGACATGAAATATTGCTATCTAATATTGATATCAGATTAATGTTTTCTTCTGAACAATTTACCAGTCAAATGGATTTTCTAAGATTACGAAATTCTTCCATTAACTTGAAAATTTCATCATGAGACTTGATTGATATAATCATAGAGGTCACAAAGACGCTGGCAAAATGTGTTCCAAGTTGTGTTCTTGGTCTCTTCCAACCCTTCTTTTTAAAAAACTTACAACTGTCTCACAATTCTCGGCTTCACAGTGCAGACCAAGAGACACTTAAGTTCTTTGGTTTCTAATCTTTAATTCCAAGATCGTTATCATTCCTGTGATTGAAATTAACAACATGCCCAGTGAAATCCCACGAGAGGGTGGTGTTATGTAGTCAATGAACCTATATGATATCATCCTTCAATTTCACCCAAGTGACGAAGTCATTCAGCCAACGTTTCTAGACCATGGTGAGTTGGTGACACCATCAGTTAGTTCTGGTGAAAAACACCCGTCACTGGAGTAAAGCAGAAGACAGAATCTATCATGTCTACAAAAACTTTATTTTTTTTCTCTTATATATAATTAGTCATTACAAGAACGTGGGTACTATCCTACCATATTTAGTACTTTGTTGGGTGTATAAACCTATTACAAAAGGGGGAAGGGCACCATAATATACAACTTCCAAAAACTACAGAATCATGTGTGCTAGAGCATCTGCTACCTTGTTGCCCTCCCTGTAGCTATGTTCGATTCCGTCACACACTAACTAGTGCATCACTTAACAGAGAACACGGTACTGCAGCAGGATCAAGCTCCCAGCAGCCTCTCAAAACCCCTCCTTTTTCTCCAGTCAGCTGAAATGCAGGGATCTGATGAGAGAACCTCCAAAACTCATCTTTTTGTATTTCTAAAATAACAGAATTAGATGTTTGCTTTTTAAAGACCGACTTAAAACCATTCACACGAACCAGGGACGAAACTTTTATCCAGTCTTTTGAATACTCGATGACCTCCACTATCTCGTACTCAAACTTGTCTGGATCCAAACCTGATTTTTTCAAGCTCTTGTACAGTGCCCAAATCTCTCCTTCTCTTGGATAGATTTCAAACCTGTTCTTAACAGAGATTGCTTTCACCACATGGGAGAATGAGCTAGGATCACAGGCTTGATGTTTTTCATTCTGGACTTTGAACATTCCACAAACTGACTGAGCAGCATTTTTAGGCCCTGCACATGATTCAAGGAGGACTACGTGCAATTTGAATGGGGCAGGAACTATCTTCTTAACCAGAGCGTAAGTATTTGGCAATGTACTATTTTGACCATAAATAGCCCATACCTGATGTACTTGAAACTTCCCCGTAGATCTGTCCATCTCAAAATCACAAAAAAATTCTTCAAAACCTTTATCATCTGAAAAAGTTGATACTTTGGTGGAGCTTCCAACGGAGTTGCTGAGACCAAATCTCTTCGCGCGTGAATGCAACTCTCTATCAGCTTGACATGACAAATGAATTGGCATGCGGGGACTTGAGTGACGGCTTTTTTTAACACAATTATCATCAAAGTCAGTAGAAGGACCGTCATTGGCAGAACAAGAGCTCATCTGAGTTCGCTTTTTCTCAGAGATGTTCATTTTTTTAGGAGGTATTTGAACCTTAGAAGACTCTCCATCAGTAGCATGGATGTCATCCCCAGACTTCAGAGATGTTGTTGCTTTCCTTGATTTATCTCTAGCTCCAAGTGGAACTGCAGGTAGATCATTTTCTACAGGTTCAGAATTAGCAGCCCTGCTGTCTTCCATAACTTTTCCAGGGTACCAAATATCATCAGGATTGAGGGGTAAAGAAGCAGGATCAAGTTCAAAGGATCCCGCAGGTACACCCTCTCGTTCAGTTCCAGTCATTTTAAAAGACGGAATTTGATGAGAGAACTTGTAAAGTTCATTTGGCTTTACAAAGAATGTACCAACTTCAGTCGGCCTCATTCGCTGGAAAAGGCTAACAAATCTGGAAACTTTATCTAAATAACCAACTAGGACACCAACATCCACAGCATAATCAGAAAGTATCTCCACGATTTCATACTTGTACTTCCTATGATTATCTGGTTCAGAGCTCCAACTAATATCCCAATCTTTGAAAAGGGCCCACATTTCTCCTTTCCTTGGATATACAATGTACAGACCTCTCTTGCCCATTCCGCACTGCAGTTGATGAGAAAATGTAAGTCGATCAGAAGTGAATTCAGTACTTCCACGTCTAAATTTCCCACAGCCAACAGGCAACTCTGCCGCGACCCAAGCTCTGCCCCTTTGATCTTCTGGATAAGCATCAAGCCAACTGAACATCACCTTAAATTCAGGACTGTATACCTTCCTAATGTGGGCATAGAATCTTGGCATACCATCAGCCGTATCATAACAAGCCCAGATCTGATCAATTGCAAAGCAATTTTGTGCTTTAAGCTTGTCAAAAACACTAAATTCAGGGTCAGGATAATCATACACCTCTGGAAGATTACTCTCAGGAACAGATTCTGATTCTGAATCAGAATCTGAATCTGAATCAACAGTAAGTTCAACTTTTTCCACACCACCTGATGACCTAGAAGCCTGTTCATTAGCTGTCCAAACCTTGGAATTGTTGTTTTGCAGACCCCCTTCAGGGAGGCCTGCTCCATTTTGATTTAATTTTTCAATGAAATTACTGCATGACCTGGTTACACCAGCATGCTTTTGATTATCACCGCCAACTGCTTCTTTCTGCTGAGCTTTACCATCTCTAGCTGACTGGTGAGCCCATGCTTTCTTCAGAGGGCTTGCCAAACCATTTTCATCATTGCGTACAGGATTAGAATCTGATTCTGAATCAGAAACAACGGGTTTAATTTTTTTCGCGCCAACTGATGGGAGTCTAGAATCAGGCTCCATCTCCAAACTTGATACATAAACATGTGCAAAATCATCATTAAATTGTAAGAGAGTATTGACATCTTCTTGGTCGCTCAGCTGTATCAATTGGGACCTATCAAACTTCACAGTAAAATGCAAGATCTTATCCGAAGGATCAATGCTTAGTCGGTCAAAAACTGCATTCACAAAATCATTATACTTTATGCCTGTTTTTGCAATAACCTGACGGGTAATACCTCCTACATACGAAGTGGATCCATCTGGAAGCACCTTATTCTTCTTACCCCAATGACAGAAACAAAACAGTGTTTTATCTTCAGTTCCCATCATGAACTAGTGACATATTCAAAGTCCTCAAAATCTTTTTTTCTTCTGAGAAGAGTAACAATCTCGAAAACTAAAAACCTGATCAAGAAAAACAATAAGTCTAAAGGGAGTTACTTATCAAGGCTGAATGCACTAAAATAATAATCCATAAGAAAGGCACAAAGTTATGATCATTAACCAAGCATCCCCAAATACAAGATTAAAAACATTTTTTTCCATTTAAAGTAAATATTTCTCAACCTTCATGATCTTGGAACATAGCCAAATAAAGATAGGAATCTAAAACCAGCCAATCAACAAAAAATTTGGCTGTAGGAAGAAAAACATTATCTAAATGTAAGTCAGCAAAACAAAAAAAGTAATCCATCTATACATTTTATCTCAAGCAGAATAATCCCTGTCATATCATCATAAAACAGAAAATTAAACATATGACAGCCTTATAAGATAACAGATTTTCGAAGATGTTTGGATTGGCTTTTTAAAAATAGCTTATAAGCTGGAAATACCCAACTTTTAGCTTTTAGCTTATTTTTGTACCTTTTTATCTATTCCAAACACACAAAATTAAAATAAAAAAGTGCTTAAAAGCTCGAAACACTTAAAATAAGTTAATCCAAACATCCTCTTCATCTAATATAATAGGGTGTCAAGACAGAATCCTCAATAAATCATAAAGTTTCAAACTTAAACCAAGAATCAGAAATTTTCAAAATGGGTTCAGAGAAATCTCTATGCAAAAATCCTCATGAACCTACTAGATACTACTATTAAATATTTTTGCAGTAAAACTTGAAATTAGCAAATAAGGAAAGCATACCAAGTTAAGGTAATCCCAAGAAAGCAAAAGTTTCAAACTTCAATTAATCACAAAATTCCAAAATGAGCTCAAAGAACAAGTCATCACATGACAAATTTCATGGTTAGATTAGCTATTTTAGTTTGTTAAGCATGAAATTAGCAAATAAGATAATCATACTAAACCATAAAATTTCATTCAAATGCACAAAAGATCAAAACAGAAACCCACAGGAAAGCAAAAAGTTTCAAACTTGAAGCAAGAATCACAATCTTTCTAATTAAAGCTCAAACAACTTATTCCAAACATCTCATTATGGTGCCCCTTGTTTCACTACAAGTTTACATACTCTGTCAGTAGGTTAAAAAGGGTTACCTTGAAGCTGCAGATAGTTAAATTTTGACCTAAGGAAGTGGAATAGTTCCTACCATGCTTTTTTGAGACTAAAACAGTGGATTTTAGGGAGAGAAGATCCATGATTAGTAAGAGAGAGAGTGAGAGAGAGTAGAGGAATGGACACGTACTATATAAAATTTAGTCCTTTTTTTTTTTGGTAATAAGAATATAAGATTTAGTAAAGTTGACCGTTTTATCCTTTCAAGCTTTGTCAAACGAAATTGTGTCCAATTGCATTGACTAACCAGTAACCACCCGTTTTTTCGTTTGATAGTGTGTGTAAGACGTCTCCGGACTCCAATCCAACGCCAAAATTTTATTTGATGTAAAATTTGATGTTTTGAAGCTTCAATTTAATATCAAATTTTACACTATTTTGGTGTGTGAATAGTGTTACACTATCACATCAATTCACTTTATTAAATATTTTAATATTATTTAATTATATAAAACTTTTAATTAAATATTATATAAATTGTATGTTTTAATTTAATTTCTTGTATATTTAATTATTTTTTATGTAATGTTTTTATAATATTAATTTTAGATATAAAAGCTAGCTTTTTTTATAAATTAATTTTTCTATATATGACTTATTTTTTTGAAAAAAATTATGGTAATTCTACTATAATGTATAATGTCTAATATTTGCTAGCAATTTATATTATTTAAAAAATTATGGTATAAAATAATTTTATATTAAACGACTATAAAAGAAAATAATATGAATAATATATGGTGAATGTTTTAGAAAGAATTTGTTTTTATGAAATAAGAAATAATAATATAATAATGAAGAGAGAAAAAAATATTCCATTTTGGTGTAACATTTGGTGCAGTGAGTTGAAGTTGATTTACATTAAAATAGTGATGACATCGAATTTGATGTAAAATTTGGTGTTTGGGTTGGAGATGCCCTAAGAAGACCGAATGTGCAAGAATAATACAGAATATTGTGTATTAGTAATGTTAATGGCATTAGTTTTGCTTGCATTAATTATGATGAAAATTTGCTTATACAATATTTAGTTTGATATATTAAAAATAATATGCGTTGTATAATTTTTTTATATATTTGTTTATAAAAATACCCTCTACAAATATGATGGAAAGGATGTGGAAAAAGTTTTGAGAGACAATTGTGTTTTTAACCATGATAATGAATGCATTGAAACTCATTATATTACTAATGCATAGAAATCCATGATACACACCTCAATACACAATAAAGTATATTAGTAATGCAAGCATTAATTATACACTGACTTAAAAAATTATATCAAACAAGATACTAATAATACACAAAACTAATGCATACATTATTTTCTCTAATACACTCTACCAAACGACCCCGGCCGGCTTGAAAACTCAAATGAGAATTGAATTTGAATACAACAGCATGTAATTATACAGTTTGATCTGCTTATTTGGCCAAATAATTACTTAATTAGTAAGTATAATTGAGAGGAGATAATTACACTCTCTAATCTTCAATGATATAATTATAAGGTTACTTTTAAATTTCTTTCTTTTAGTTTTTATTTTCGTAAGGATAAATTGAATTGCCTTTTAGTTAAAGTTTAGTCAGGAACCTAAAAATAAAACATAGCTTCATTAACATGGAGAAAACACCTTTCACTGCATCAAAGCAGAAGACAGAGAATCTGTATGTCTACAGATAAGAGTCTTAACAAAAACTTGGGGACTATCCGGGTACATCCTCTCGTTCAGTTCCAGACATTTTGGAGGGAATTCGATGAGAGAACTTGTAAAGTTCTTTTGGCTTTACAAAGAATGCACCAACTACAGTCTGCCTTGTTCGCTGAAATATGCTAATAAATCCAGTCACTTTTTCCAAGTAACCAACTTGGATTCCAGCATCCCCAACAAAATCAGAAAGAACCTCCACAATTTCATACTTGTACTTCCTATAACTCTTAGGATCGGAGCTCCAACGAATATCCCAATCCTTGAAAAGGGCCCATGTTTCCCCTTTTCTGGGATATACAATGTACAGACCTCTCTTGTCCTTTTCACACTGCATTTGATGAGAAAATATAAGTCGATCAGAAGTATATTTGGAGCTCCCACGTCTAAATTTCCCACAGCTAACAGGCAAGTCTGCCCTGACCCATGCGCGCTCCCTTTCATCTTCTGGATGAGCCTCAAGCCATCTCAGCTTTATCTTAAATTCAGGACTAGATACCTTTCTAATGCGGGCATAGAATCTTGGCATGAAATCAGCATCATGGCAAGCCCAGATCTGGTCAACTGCAAAGTAAATTTCTGATTTATGCTTGCCAAAATCACGGAATTCAGGATCAGGATAATCATATACCTTGGGAGGATTATTATCAGGAATTGTACTTGGTCTTGAATCAGAATTAACAATGAGTTCAACTTTTAACTTTTTTTGCGCAGCCTGATGTCGGTAAAGAAGCCTGTTTGTTAACTGTCTTAATCTTGGAATTGTTGTTTTGCACATTCCCTTCAGGAAGGCCCACTCCATTTTGATTTAATATTTCCATCAATTTACTGCATGACCTAGTTACACCGGCATGCTTTTGATTATCACCACCAACAGTTTCATTCTGCTGAGGTTTACCGTCTCCAGCTTTGGCTGACTGATTAGCCGTTGCTTTCTTCAAAGGCTTACTATCTCCAGCTGACTGGAACCGTGCCTTCTTCAGGGGGCTTGCCAATTCATTCTCATCATCACCTGCCGGAGTTGTATCTGCTTCTGAATCAGAATAGCCAACAAGTACAACTTTTTCCGCATGACCTGATGGCAGTCTAGAATTAGGTTCCTCCTCCAAACTTGATACATAAACATGAGCAAAACCATCATTAAATTGTAACAGGGTATCAACGCCTTTTTGGTCCCTCAGCCGTACTAAGTCGGACCTATCAAACTTCACTGTAAAATGCAAGATCCTACCTGAAGGATCAATGCCTAATCGGTCAAAAACTGCATTCACAAAATCATTGTACTTTATGCCTGTCTTTACAATAACCTGATCAGTAATACCTCCCCCATACGAAATGGATCCATCTGGTAGCACCTTATTCTTCCTGCCCCAGTGGCAGAAACAAAGCAGTGTTTTATCTTCAGCTCCTATCATGAAGTAGTGTAAGTGACCACAGAGGTTCAAACAGTAACAATCTTCGAAAAAATTCTTCCTTTTTCCCTGAGAAGAGGAACAATCTTGAAATTAAAAACCTAATCAAGAAAAAAAGATAAATTTATAGTTGAATGTACTAAAGTAATTATACAAATAAGAAGCATCTCAAGAAAAGCATTTTTTTTCTTTAAAATAAAAACATCTCAAGCTTCATGATCTTGGATTATAACTAAATTCTAAATAGAGGATAGAAATAAAAAACCAGACAGTCAATAAATTTTTTGGCTGTAGGACAAGGTGGAGCTAGAGTAACCCAATAGCCTTGCTTGTTGAATACTTACGAATTATCACTCCCTCCATGCCAATATATGTGCAATCTTTCTTTTTTAGTCTGTTCCAAAAAGAATTACACATTTTTATATTTAGTAACAATTTAACTTTAAACTCCTCATTATATTCTTAAATTTATAACCACACATATATTATGACTTAGTTTAGACCACAAGTTTCAACATTATTCCTTTCAATCTTAAACTACATGCCCAGTCAAACACCTTCACATAGATTAGGACGGAGGAATTAATTTAAAACCCACTAACTTAAAAGAGCTAGAATCTCGAACTCATGAGCTTCAAATCCTAGACTCTGTCTCTGCGGTAGGAAGAAAAAAACATCATCTATACATGACCATGCCGGTAATCTCTAGTAGAATAGTCTCTGATACCCGTCAATCGTCATGTCATCATAAAAACATAAAACTGAACAGACCATACAAGACATAGGATTTCACCAAATGAAATAAGATGTCAAGGAAACAAAAAGTATCAAACTCTACACATGAATAAGAAAATTTCAAATATGGATTCAAAGAGAACTCTACAGAATCTTCTGTGAATATTAGATATTTTGCTATGAAACATGAAATTAGCAAAGACGGAAAGCATACTTTAGCAATAGATTACCGCCAAATGCGAAAGGATCAAAACAGAAACCCCAGTAAAGCAAAAAGTTTGAAACTTGAAGCAAGGATCAAAAATATTTCTAAATAAAGTTGAACCAATTTCTTTCCACAAAAATATGCAGGAGAAAAAGAGCACCAAGCTTCACCATTTCCACTTTCTAATTTACTACTCCAGAGACATCTTAATAGACTAGTAAACACCTGCATGATGCCTTTGTTCCTCTGTAAGTCTACATACTCATATTATACACTATAAAATATTGTGAATAGTGAATAGAGAAAAGGGAAAAAAAGTTACCTTGCAAGTTGCAAGTTGGAACTGCAGGTGGTTGAACTTAAACCAAATGGGGTTTCTCTACTAAAACCCCAAAGGTTGCAGTGATGAATTTCTCAGCTAGGGCTTCACCATTTACTGGGATAATGGAAATTCTCTCCCAATTTAAATGCTGAAACTTTTTCTTTTACATAAAACTATGACAAGAGTTGAATAGTTTGTGTAGTTTTACTATGACTTCTCATTGGCGGTCAGAAAAAGTAGAACCTCTTTAATAATGTATAAATTGATTTTGAAATTTTATCGATATAACAACAACAAGAATGATACATTTTCTTTTACTACTATATTTAGTATTTTAAAAATATGGAATGTTATGACTTATAACTTTAATATAATTTTAAATTATGAAATTTGGCTTATATAATAAAGGCATGCAGAACTTTAATTTCCTGTCATAAGTTGAGACAAAATCTTGTTCAAGCTATCCATAATTACCTATTCAATGATCTGTGTAAAATATTCTTTCACTGTTCCTCGTTTGCCATTTTCATAAAGGATATAGTTGACAATTCGAAATTGCACAGTATCCCTTTCCTGCAATGGATCCAGTGGAAAAAGGATTCCTAAATTTATATTGTCCGTTATTTCATATGTGCTGACAGGTCTGGGAGAGCGTATTGAAGTTAAACTCTTCCCTAATATATAAGTTAGTGAAGATAGATAAATGCAAAAGTTAAGAATAGGTATTAAACTCTGATTAGCATAGTAACATGGTCAAATTTTGCAAATTAGAGTAGCCACCATCACCCCTACTAGCACAAAAGTATGACGTTAAGGCAATCTGGATATACAACAAAATACATAGCAACAATGATAGTGTACTTAACATATTACTACTACAAGTTCTTCATTTAGGCTGCTGCAGACTCACTCAATGTACGACAGAACAACACTACTACATAGGATTTACATAGTCACATCACCAGACACATCGATAAGTAACATGTGTCTCAATGATCTCATTGCTGTATGTGACCTTCACAACTTGCCCCTTCTCCAATCCATAGTACCGAGCAATTGCATCCTTCTGAGACATCCGCGGTAGCTGGAAAATATCAATACAAGAACAATACTCAGAAAAAGTTAGATAAATGAAACTGTATTGATAATTTTCGAAGAAAGAGAGGTCAATTGAAGTGCACATATAGACATATGAACTACGAATTTCTGCTGAGATCATTAGAGAGAATGCACAGCAACAATACCATTAGTCTGCATAAGATGAAGGCAGAAATATGTCTCTACACCTAAGGGCGTAGATATTAATGTCTGATAAGTAGTGTGTGAGAGACAGGGCAAGTTCTACCTCCCATTCATTAAAAAGGCAGCAGTCTATACTCTATAAGTACCTAAACTAAAAGCTTTAGAACAGCATTTGAGTCATTTCACCTTCACAGTAAAGGGAGCAAAAATGACAAACTTTTCTTAACTGTGAAGCCTAGATGGCAGCAAGTACTAAAGCTTGATTCTAAGACAGTCGAGTTAACCAGATAAAAATTGATCAATCGTTTTTTCTGATGAGTTTACTCTAAAAGACTTGCTGCTGTACAGATAGACTAAGGAGATGCACAGTTGTACAGATATACAGACATGTTTCAGCAAATTCAAAGGATGTTAAAGGCAAACCTGCTTCTCTTCCAAGTTGTACTTCTTCAATAGCTGCTCCTTCTCTGTGTTGGTCAACAACTCATGCTTTGGCTTTAAAACATGTTTTGTGATGTTGACAAGTAAGTCTGTAATCTGAAAGAGTTAACAAATAGGAGCCAGAAACTTAGCATATTGCTGAGACATAATGTTTATCGTGTGCAAATGGAAAATTCTTTCGCCAAATACCACCAAACCTTCATCAAATGGAAAAAATGGAGCTTGGGACTTGTCTTGGCAAAAGATTAATTAAGGGGAGCCAATAACCAAGTAAATGTAGCTCCTTTTAAGCCAGACTTGGGAAGAATATTTCAGTTTTTTTCCTTATTTCACAGGTAACAGTAGAAAGATCTGGAAGTTCGTAGAAAACCAGAAACGCTTTATGTGTTGTATGTTTTATTCGTTAAAGAGAAACTTTTGAATGATCGAGCAACTAAAAGAGACTTCAAATAGGGAAAGCCATTATTGAACATACACCTATTTGTACAGTCTTAGGTAAATGTCAATAATGATAAATCCTTATTCATTCTGAAGATCTAACTCATTAGCCAAGCATATCTAAATTCTAAAGCAAATGCAGAACACGTATTAATAATAGCCTAATTAGTACCATGTTTATTCCTCGCAATAGAACTGTTCACACCAAAAACACCAACAAGAACACATACTTTACCTGGAAAATTTCAGTTTTGAATGGGGAGTCCTCCACAACCTTCATAGCTGGATTAGTCATTGGATTTTCAATGATTAATATCAGCCGACTCAAGGATTCTTTGTTCATTATTTGAGATAAAATACTGCGGATGACATTCATTTTCACCGAATTTGGCCCACAGAAGATGACCAAAACCTGCGACAAGTTCAAATATGCAAGACATTAGTAAATCTATGAAGCACGTGAATGTAATGTTGATAGTCCGTCTTCATCAGAGACCATCTTCCAATATGCTGAGGATTCTAACCAGTTAATGCAACAACTTTCTTGGCTTCTTAATTTTGTTTTATTGAACTCAGCTGAGCCTCCAATTTCCATAGGAAGACTTATGGAGCATAGAACACATTTCCATCAGACATAACAGGATTGATGCACTTCTAACATAATCAACAAGAAATTTGAAGATATATGAACCCCAAAAATAGAAATTCGGATATGGAGCTAAGAGATGATTTTTTTTTTTGATAAGGTAAATAATTTTCTTATTAACAACAACATACCCAATGGAATCCCACAAAGTGAGGTCTTGAGAGGGTAGAGTGTACGCAGACCTGAGGTTGTTTCCGAAAGTGGGGTCTTGGGAGGGTAGATGGTACGCAGACCTGAGGTTGTTTCCGAAAGTGGGGTCTTGGGAGGGTAGAGTGTACTCAAGTGAAGCAAGTCAAAGAAAAACAAACAGCGAAGAAAAACATGACAACTAATAGGAATGAGTATGGAGCAAGGAACCGTAATATCAACAACAAGGTGAGATCACCTAAACATGATAAACAAGATACCAAACGCCAAAGACTACATGAATAGGCTAATACTATGACAGATACGGTGCTCTAGACTACCACCACGCCACAGACTACATGAATAGGATACTTCTACGGCAACACTCGACTATTTACTAATCTTCTACACTTATCTGCAACTTCTACACCCTCCTATCTAAGGTCATGTCCTCAATAAGCTGAAGATGCATCATATCTTGTCTATTCACCTCTCCCCAATACTTCTACGGCCTACGTCTACCTCTCCTTATCCCCACTATATCCAAACTCTCACGCCTTCTCACTGGGGCATAGGCACATCTCCTCTTTACATGCTCAAATCATATAAGTCTCTCTTCCCTCATCTTGTCCACCACGGAGGCCACTCCCACTTTGTCCCGGATATCCTCATTACTAATCTTATGGCTCTTAGTATGTCCACACATCCATCTCTCATCATCATCATTTCTATTTGCATCTTCTCAACATAGGAGTTCTTGATGGGCCAACAACACAGCCTTGTACAACAAAGCCGGTCTAACCACCACTCTCTATAGAACATACCTTTAAATTGTGATGGTAACTTCTTATCGCACAATACTCCGGATACAAGGCTATCCACACTACACCAATATGATGTGTGACATCACCTAAGATACTTGAATCTTTTTTGCTCATTCCCCAAATTTCACTCACTAACAAAAGGAAAGAACTCAGAGTTCCTTAATACTTTCTTTAACGAGGTAAAAGATTGAAACTTTAGAGAAATTATCACTACAAGAAGCTAAAAACAGGTGATTCAAGAAAGGAAAGAGGGGTAACTAGCCTTATTGGTAAGGTCAGTTCTGTGCATGGCGGAGATTCTGAGGCGCTCAACATCAGGTCTTTGACCATATTTCTCTCTGAATTCTTGAAGGGTGGTGTCGATTTCAGAATTGGGTATTGCAAAACCACGATCTTTCAGCATTTCGAGCATAGTTTTGCGTGCAAGAAAGTACCTGTGACTCTCAACAGTACCATCATCGACAAAGCTGGCTAAACAAGGACTAACATTGACAACATCGACCTCCATTGCTGACCCATTAACATCCATTTCTGCTCTTCTTGTTTAATTTTTTGTTGGAATTGACAGCAAGTAGGTGCCAGGGTTTTTCGGGTTTTGCTACGTACGACTGTGGGAAAGGAAGTTTTGCGTGTCTATTTTAGCATAAAGCTCAAATGAAGATGGTTATAATCCCCCAATCTTTTAAAATGAATCTGCCTATTATTGACTTACATATGATTAAGAAACAATAAATCATAAAGATAATTTGGTAAAATATAAGTCTTCTAAATAATAATAAAAATGAATAGTATTTAATAATTAGGATAACATAGACACAAAATGATAAATTATTTATTGATTTTGTAAATAAAAATTGTATAGTTAGACATCTCAAAATAGTGTAGTTATGTAGACAAGTAAAAATGAACAGAGTCAATAATAAGAGAGTTAATTTTGTGTGAATAATCGAAGGGGCATTTGATTTATGTTTTTAAAGTATGTGTCATGTCTCTAGGGCGTCAAAAATGAGTCCAAAGTCCAAACATAAGCAATCCGTCCAAAATTTTATGAGTTATACTCAAGATAATTTGAATTGAGTTTAATCTCAATCCTTTCAAATTTTAACAAACTTCAAAAGAATTTTCAATTGAGCCCCATTAAATCTTCAATTGTAACCCGTTTTAAGACTCTTTATTTGCATTGAAGTAATGTATGTTCCTATATTAAAGATATAAATTATTATATATTTTATATCTTCTAGAATTTATCTATTCATTTATAACTTTTTAAAAAAAAATTTGAGTTGAAATACAAATTGTGGATCATGACCCAATCTGTTTTTAGCCCAAAGTAAAATTTAGGCGGATCATAATCCAACCGATTTCTATTTCAGCCCATTTTAATATCTACAATTTCAACATAACCTGCTCATTTGACACCCCTACATGCCCCAACAATTTCACTTAATATAGACTAAAAAGAGTATATTTACTTTAGTGAGGGTACGATGTTTGTGATTTTCAAAAATAATTACTAGTATTAAACATAAAATGAGAAAAAATAAATAATTTTGTCATAAATTTTGTTGGAGTGTTCTATCACACACCTTTTGAGAAAAATATTTAAGGACATAAATAAAATGTTATTTTCATTATGACCCTTTTGAAAATATGAAGAAAAAAAAAGTTTCAATAATTCTCTTGAACTTTGAATAATTCACTTATTTTGGACTAGGAGTATAAGATTTAATCAATATGTCTGTTATATCATTTTCAGCTTTGTTAAACATAATAGCCTCCATTGCATCAATTAACAGTTAGAATGCAAGTGAAACTTAGAAAGATTTTAAGCTATAACTCAAATCCTTATGCCATTATTTCAATTTTACAGAAGAGTTTTAGAAAAGATAAAAAGCATTACTGGTGTCTTTCAGCTTTTTTTTTTTTTTTTTTTTTTCTTTTTAAGTTACAAACACAAGAGATACTTTAATTAGGAAATCATAATTCGAGCTACTGAAATCAAATGAAACATAATAACCGTTATTGCAGCTACTGCAATCATCACCACCCAAGTCACGAAGTCCATTAATCGAGCAACTAATGACAGAAAATTTCAGTTCCATCCATGTCAATGTGCAGAGTGGACTCAACGGACGCGTTTCGAGCTCCCAGTCTCAGACTTGAGAGACGTTGTTGCATGCTTGGATGTCCTGGATTTATCTCTCGTTACAGGGGTAACTGCTGACAAAACATTTTCTACAGGTTCAGATTTTGCAAGTCCTGATTTTTCCTTGACTTTTTCAGGATACCAAATATCATTTGGATCAAGGGGTAAAGAAGCAGTATCAAGTTCAAACGACCCCGCAGGTACACCCGTTCCTTCAGTTCCGATCATCTTGAAAGAAAGAATTCGATGAGAGAACTTGTAAAGTTCATTTGGTTTTATAAAGAATGAACCAGCTACAGACAGCTTTGTTCTCTGGAAAACACCAGCAAATCCAGTAACTTTATCTAAGTAACCAACTTTGACACCAGCATTCTTAACATAATCAGAAAGGATCTCCACAACTTCATACTTATGTTCACTATGACTCTGTGGACTCCAAAGAATATCCCGAGCTTTGAAAAGCGCCCATGTTTCCCCTTTCCTAGGATATAAAATGTACATATCACTCGTCCCCTCTTCACAATGCATTTGATGAGAAAAAAAAACGTCGATCAGAAGTAAAATGACTATCCCCACTAATGAACTTCCCACAGCCTGACTTGATCCAAGCACACTCCCTTTGGTCTTCTTCTGGACGAGGCTCGAGCCAACTGAACTTGATCTTAAATTCAGTACCAAATACCGTCCTGATGCGGACATATTTTCTTGGCATAGCATCGTGCACATCATCATAGACAGCCCATATCTGGTCAGCTGCAAAGCAGCAATTTTCAGCTTTATGCTTGAAAAAGGCACTGAATTCAGGATGACGACACTGAAGGAAATCTGAATTGTCTTTATCAGAAATTGTATTTGATTTTGAAGTACTGCGCGACCTAGTTGCACCAGCAAGCTTTTGATCACCAGCACCAACAGCTTCTTTCTGCTGAGGTTCACTGCCTCCAGCTAACTGGTTTGCCATTGCTTTCTTCAGAGGTTTACTACTATCTCCAGCTGACTGGAACCGTGCCTTCTCCAGCGAGCTTTCCAAATCATCACCTGCAGGAGTTGTATCTCGTCCTGAATCAGATACAACATCAAGTTCTACTTTTTTCGCACCACCTGATGGCAGTATAGAATAAGGCTCCTCCTGCAAACTTGACACATAAACATGAGCAAAACCATCATTAAATTGTAACAGGGTATCGACACCTTCTTGATCCCTCAGCCGTATCAGTTCAGACATATCAAGATTCACTGTAAAATGCAACATCTTATCGGAAGGATCAATGCCTAATCGATCAAAAACTGTCTTCACAAAATCATTGTAGTTTATGCTTCTTTTCACAATAAACTGATCAGTAATACCTCCCCCATACGAAATGGATCCATCTGGAAGCATCTTTGTCCTTCTGCCCCAGTGACAGAAACAAAGCAGCATTTTATCTTCAGTTCCCATCATGAAAGTAGTGTACACGAAACACAGAGGTTCAAATAGTAACAATCTACAAAACCTTTCGTCTCTTTATCTGAGAAGAGTAACAATCTCAAAAACTCAAAAAACTGATCAAGAAAAAATAATCTAAAGGGAGTTACATATCAAGGCTGAATGTAAAGAAATAATAATCCATTAGAAAGGAAACAAAAGGATGAGCGCATCTCCAAATAACAGATTAAAAGCACATTTTCCTTGAAAGTAAATACTCTGATTAGATTTCATCTAAGTCAACACATAATCCTCAGAAAGTTTCAAACTTTAACCAAAAAACAGAAAATTTTCAAAATGGATTCAGAGGAAACTCTATACAAAAAATTTGAGAAAATGAACAAAATGGTCCTTGTCACGACTCAATCCACTTATGCCATAACCGGCGATCAGCAGGCCTAAGCCTACCGTGTTTTGGGCTAAAAATGATTCAGTACATTTTCAAATATTCGATCATACTAAAGAAAAGATCAATTTGTTGATAAATCATTTCAATGCGAAAGACAAATCTAAAACATGCTATGGTTGAAAATCAACTATGGAGAAATTATTACTCACAATACTTTTGCCGAATAATTCCAATTTGCTTCCAACGAATCTGCCCTCGACTCTTTCGTTTGGTTTGGACTTTGGAGCCAGCAGCGTTGTTTTTATACTCAACTGACTGCCTCCTCTTCTTTTTGCCAAAGCTGCTTTCCTTTTCTTTACTACAACTTTCCCTACTATTATTATTATTGTTATGAGAGTGGGTTGTTAACTTAATACTTAAGTAGTTTGTGGGAAATTAGTTAGGGATTTAAATGTTAACTTGTTTTAAATGGACCAAGCTTAATTCTTTTAAGTCATTACATTAATGTATGAGGTTTGAACTGTTATGGTCCTTGATATGCAAAATGTAATCGTTTTTATTCTAAACCCTAAAACATAATCATTGTTGATTAATTTATCGAGGTAAAAAGTAGAATAGTTATAACATTTAATTTGAATTAATAGTTTGCTATTTTATACAATTTTCCCTTAAATATATTATCCTTTTATAGACTATCTATACATATATATACGAAAAAATTTAAAAGTTGCCGGGTGCATGTGGGTCCGCCTCTAAAGTCTGCTTAAGTTCTATCTTATCCGGATCTTACTTGTGAAATTTCACTGAATATATTGTTGTTTTCGCATCTCTTTTGTGTATCACCTCTCTCTCTCTAGCTTTAGTTTTTTTCTTCTACTTAAATAACACAGAACCAGTAGCGTTGTTTTTATTCTCTACTGACCGCCGCCTCTGCTCTTTTCCAAAGCCGCTTTTCTTCTCTCTACTATTATTTAATACTGTAGGATTATTATTATGGAGGTGGGTTGTTAATTAACTTAAAGACTTAAATACTTGGGTTGGAAGAAGTATTGAAAATATTTTAAAACTTGGTACATATTATTAGTCCTTTCGAACTATTGACAGTTTAAAAACACCCCTCTACTTAACTAACTAAACTTAGATACGCCCCTCAAACTTAGATTGCTAAGATATATGTGAGTTAATATCTTAAAAGGTCATTGAACTATGAGAAATTATTTAGTAAAGTCATTGAACTTTATTTTATATCAATAAAATCACTCAACTTAAAGCTTTTATCTTTAAAAATCACTCAACATTAAAATAAATTTGACATGACAAAATAAATTATTTTAATATGCCATGTAAATATGGACCTCATTACAAATAAACAAAATTTTAAAAGATCTCCTTAATTTATCATTGAGGTACATCTGACATGATAAATATATATTTTTTACCATATAAATTTGAATCCCACAAATTAAAATTTTATAAGTATTTTTTAATCGGCTCGCCCAGTATAAATTCGACTTATACCCACATTGCTTCAATTTTCAATTTCTACATTTTGAGCCACTGTTCGTAGAAGATTATTTATTATTTTTTAATTAAAGTGATCATTATATATTGGTTACTTTAGTTAGATACTCCAGTACATATATGTTGATTCAAGTAAATGAGTAATAATGTATACGTCAAAATACAAGTAATAATGTGCAACCCTAATGGCTAATGCGATTTATAGAATTTCATTGCATATATTTGCTAGCTAAGTGTAATGTGATATTGGATCTTTTATGAGTTTGAATTTCATATCCAAAATTTGATAACAAAAAAAAGAACAGGAGTACTGATAAGCGGGACAAAATGTTTTTTTTATATATTTATTTATTGGATCCATGTAATTTATATGACATTAAAAAATAATTTATTTTGCTATGCCAAATTTATTTTAATGATAAATGTAGTTAGGTGATTTTTGTAGATAAATATCTTAAGCTGAGTGATTTTATTAATATAAAACAAAGTTTAATGACTTTGCTAGATAATTTCGCATAGTTCAATAACCTTTTAAGATATTAACTCGACATATGCCTTATAAAAGAACAATTTTATCAGTTTATAATATCCTCATGACATGTTCCAGGCTTTGAGCAACCATCCGGGAAACAAATTCATTCACCAGACTTACAGCATAGGGAAAATTTATGATAATAGCTGCTGGTGCAAACATGAAATTCATTCCACTGATAGTTTTGGGTGTACAAAAGGGAGAGGGGTATCATAATACACAACTTCTTCCAAAAACTATAGATTCATGTGTGCTACTGCGTCTGCTGCCTTGTTGCCCTCCCTATAGCTACGTTAACGTCCAGCTTAATCATCTAGCAATAAACTGATATGAACAATGTGTTAATGGGCATAAACTGACAAAGGAAAATTTCTCATTTTTGAGTCCCATAAGACCTTAGTTTCAGCTCCAAGTCAATGAATATAGAGACTCGTCATGGATGCCTTCCAAGTCCCCTGAATTCAGAGATGTCTTCGCATTATCAAACTTACCACTAGTTCCAGTGGAAACTGCAGATAAAACACTTTCTACAGGTTCAGAATTTATAGTCCTGCGCACTTCCTTAACATTCCCCGGGTACCAAATGTCATCTGCACTGAGGGGTAAAGAGGCCGGATCAAGTTCAAATGATGCACTAGGTACACCCTCTCGTTCTGTTCCAGTCATTTTGAAAGAGGGAATTTGATGAGAGAACTTGTAATTTTCTTTTGGCCTTACAAAGAATATACCAACTTCAGTTCGCTTTGTTCTCTGGAAAAGGCTCAGAAATTCGGTCATTTTATCTAGGTAACCAACTTTAATACCAATATCCCCAACATAATCAGAAAGAATCTCCACAATTTCATACTTGTAGTTCCTATGATTTTCTGGATCAGAGCTCCAACGAATATCCCAATCTTTGAAAAGGGCCCACGTCTCGCCTTTCCTAGGATATACAATGTACATACCTCTCACTCCCATCACGCACTGCACTTGATGAGAAAAAATAACTCCATCATTAGTATAATAAGTATTCCCAACTCTAAATTTCCCACAGCCAACAGGCAAGTCTGCCGTGATCCATGCGCACTCCTCCCTTTGATCTTCTTCTGGATGAGGTTCGAGCCATCTGAGCTTTATCTTAAATTCAGGACCGGATACCTTCCTAATGTGGGCATAGAATCTTGGCATAAAGTCAAGTGTATCATACACAGCCCAGATCTGATCAACTGCAAAGCAATTTTCAGTTTTATGCTTGTCAAAATCACTGAATTCAGTATTAGGATAGTAATACATGATCTCAGGAGGATCACTATCAGAACTTGTATATGATTCTGAATCAGAATCAACAATAAGTTCAACTTTTTCCGTACCACCTGTTGGCGATCTAGAAACCTGTTCATTAACTGTCCCAACATTAGAAGTACAATCATTTTGCACAATCCCTTCAGAAAGACCCGCTCCATTTTGATTTAATCTTTTCACTGAATTTATCCATAACATAGTTACACTAGCATGATTTTGATCATCAGCATCAACAACTTCTTTCTGTTGAGGTTTACTGTCTCCAGCTGACTGGTCAGACTCTGCCTTATTCAGAGAGCTTGCAAAATCATTCTCATCATCGTGTACAGGATTAGTATCTGGTTCTACATCAGGAACAACAATAGGTTCAATTTTTTTTGCACCTACTGACGGGAGTCTAGAATAAGGCTCCATCTCGAAACTTGATGCATAAACATGTGCAAAACCATCATTAAATTGTAATAGAGTGTTGACATCTTCTTGGTCGCTCAGCTGTATCAATTGGGACCTATCAAACTTCACAGTAAAATGTAAGATCTTATCTGAACGATCAATTGATAATCGTTCAAAAACTGCATTCACAAAATCATTATACTTTATGCCTGTTTTTGCAATAACCTGACGGGTAATACCTCCCACATACGAAGTGGATCCATCTGGAAGCACCTTATTCTTCTTACCCCAATGACAGAAACAAAACAGTGCTTTATCTTCAGTTCCCATCATAAAGTAATGTATATGAACACTTCAAAACCTTCCTTCCTTTTTCGCTGAGAAGGGAAACAACCTCAAAAACTAAAAACCTGATCAACAAAAAAAGTAAATCTAAAGGGAGTCCATCATATCATCATAATACATAAATTAAAAACAGATGACGATTGTATAAGACACAGAATATCATCAAATGCAATAGGGCGTCAAAAGGGAATCCCCAACATAATATCAAGTTTCAAACTTAAAACATGAATCAGAAAATTTCATGAGAACATTAGATATTTTTTTGCTGAGGAAAATGAAATTAGAAAAGAAGGAAAGCATAATAAGCCTTAGAATTTCATATAATGCAAAAGTTTCAAACTTCAACTAATCAGAAAATTTCAAAATGGGCACAACGAATAAGTTTGCAGTGAAGAAAAAAACTTACAACACTGTATACTCACAAATATGGAACAAGTGGAAAAAAACGTTACCCTGAAGCTGCAGATGCTTAAATATTTACCAAAGGATGTTTTTCTACCATGCTTTTCAAACTAAAATCTCCCATTTTTTTATGTGAAATTTGTCCCTTGGTATCTTCTAGTAAAAGATTGAATCGTTTCTCTTTGAGATTTCATTGGCTTAAAAAGGTAATTGCATTAATTAACAGTTAGAATTACTTTGTCAATTTCTTGAAAAAGGTACTCCCTCTGTCCCATATTAACCGATCACCTTTCTAAAAATATTTGTGTCAAATTATTTGATCACGTACTAAATCAAAATAAAATTATTAAATTTTCTCATTTTACCCCTATAATTAATATCATATCATCATGCTTAATGTTCCAATAATTTCTCTTTGGAAGCTTAAACAAAATTAAAGTTTCTAGAATTCGTCCTTCCAAAAAGTTCATTAAATGTTTAATTACTCTTTTGTACTCTTTGCTCTCACCCACTTTGAGTACTTATACCTTTTGTATCCCCTATGTCATCATAAATTATATTGATATTCACCAATATGGATAAAGGGTAAATTAGTCAAATTGATCATTCTAGACTTCTAGTTATAATTTCCTAAGTACCATGTAAAATGGAAAGTGATCAGTTATCATGGGACGGAGGGAGTAATGCATTTAGACTAATGAAAAAAATAGGATACAAGTATGGAGTTCTCCATCCTCTTATTTTTGTGACACAGTTAGTCATGTTGTCCTCATTTTTCAGGGATGACAAATCTTTTTTGAGTTGGGATTTGGAAGGAGGGGAAGAAAACACTAAAACAATCTTTTCTAAGGTCTACGTTATAATCTTCAACATTAGCGGAAATGTTAAATCTACGTTACAAAAAAAAACATCTCACAATGAAACAAAATTTGAAACAAAATCAAGCCTATCAACCAAATAAGCTAGTTATGAAAGCAAACACCAAAGATCTGTAATTGGTCGGAATCAATTAAAGATACAAGAGATAAAGAAGGAAATCAGTTGAAAATCTTTTAAGGAAGAAAGCATGTTCTCTACAAGGAAGCAATCATGCATATTCTTTTTTGATTCAAACCAATAAAGGATAGTACAATAAAGGAATCAAAAAAAACTAAAGCAGTACTGGAAATCGATTCAAGGAAGCAGCAATCAAAATCACTGAAATTGATTAGCCTACAACCTTTTTCTTGGAATAAGATCAATCATCTCCTTTTTCCAAGGATCAAAACTCTTGAGTTGTAAGCTCTTCTCAAAGGACCTTTAGCATTCAGCTACTACTAAAATAAGGTCATTGAAGGAAGAAGAACATATACAAATCGTCTGAATCATCTCACCTTCTCTTCTCTACTTTTATTAAGCATTGTATTACCTAGCAGTTTTATCATGTACTCAAAAACGTGAAGAGAAAAAAAAATATTGTTGATAAGGCATTGTATCAAAAGAGAAAGAAGAGAGAAAAACAGAGTGTAGACATAGGAGCTATACTCATCAAGATACTCAAGTCTAGAAGAGAACACCCTTGCAACCCAAGGGGCCTAGATTAAGATCCATTCCGGATCCCAACCAGTATAAAAACATTTGGTGTCACTTTCATTCTATGCACTTGCATAGCTAGTCGACTAAAGAAAAGAAAATCAAAAAGGACCAATTCACCCGCGCCACACCCCCCACCTTGCACTTTCAAGGTTTACTAGCTCTAAATAGTTTGTCCAGCAGGGGGATTCTGTCCATTTCCCTTTCCAACTCTTCTGAATCCACACTGATTGAAGTATCATCACTTTCACTCGATTCAGCTATCTGCTTCCGATACCTTTTCCTGCTTTTGTAATCCACCTTTGTCGTTGCAGCGACCTGTTGGGATCCTGTTTGGGTAGGTGGAAACCCAGCGCTGCCCCCTGTCATTCTCGAGATTCCTTGGTTAGGAAGCTCTCTCTGCTCTAAAGGCTTGTTGAGCTTAGATTCAAGGGGCTTATCCTGGCCTCCAGGCTGACTCTGTTTCGGTCTACAAGCAGCACCCTGAGAACCTAAATCAAAGGTAGTACATGTCTTGCAGCGTAGAGCACGATTGGCATCATTCCTATCACACATGTACCAAGTGTTGCAAGTGTCACACTTTCTCCAGAACGTTTCCTGGATTCCAGATGAAGTTAGTTGTTTATGTCGATGGTAATTTCGATGATGGGACAGAGCATTGGAATCATTTTGAATATTGTTTTGCCCGACAAATGGTTCTTGATTATCCTGATGAGGTGGTAGCTTTCCTACAGCAGTTTTGGATAAAACTCCACACTTATTACCATTCAGATCATCACCTACCGGAGTAGTATCTGGTTGTTTATCAGAAGCAATAATATGTTCAACTTTTTTCGTGCAATCTGATGGAGGCCTAGAATCAGGCTCCTTCTCCAGACTTGATGCATAAACGTGAGCATAATCATCGTTAAATTGCAACAGAGTATCGATACCTTCTTGGTCCCTCAGCCGTATCAATTCTGACCTATCAAACTTCACTGTAAAAAACAACATCTTATCTGAATGTTCAATACCTAAGCGGTCAAAAACTGCAATCACAAAATCATCGTACTTTACGCCCGTCTTTGCAACAACCTGATCAGTAATACCTCCCCCATATGAAATGGATCCATCGGGTAGAACCTTATTCCTTTTGCCCCAGTGACAGAAACAAAGCAGTGTTTTATCTTCAATTCCCATCATGAAGTAGTGTATATGACCACAGAGAAGGGTAACAATCTTGAAAACTAAAAACCTGATCAACAAATAAAATAAAATAAAACAGAATCACTTATCAAAGCTGAATGTACTAAAAATACAATCCATACGAAAGGACTCAAAAGAATAAGGATTAACCAAGCATCTTAATTATGAAAACATTAGATATTGCTAACAAATCTAAAAAGTTGAGAAGTTTAACCAAGAATCAGAAACTTCCAAACTGAGTTCAAAGAAATCCTAATACCAAAAAAAAAAATCATGAGAATACTAACTGTTTTGCTGTGAAACATTATATTAGCAAAGAAGGAAAGTTTCACCAAATGCAAAACGGTCAAGATATTATTATGCCCACAAAAGCGAAAGTTTCAAACTATCACCAATCAGAAAATTTCAAAATGGGCTCAAAGAATAAGTTTATCTCATGACAATTTAAATGGGAATTAGCTATTTGTGTTTGTTAACCATGAAATTAGCAAAGAAACAAGTAATTTAAACTACAGAGTACATCATCTGCAAAAGGATCAAGATAGAAACCCCAGCATAGGAAAAAAGTTTCAAACATTAAGCAAGGAACAGTACTTTTTGACCTTTTCACTTCTTTTGTGAACTAATACTTCAAAAACGCATCATTTGTACTAATAAAAGTTGGATCAATCTACTGCATATATTTGTGAGTAGAGAATAAGGGTACGTATGATTGGTTCGTTTTTATGTATTATTGATTTGATTTAGATTTATAATTTAAATATGCTAAATTAATAATTAAATCAATAAAATAATTCTTATCATTTTTTATTTATCGATTTTTCAATCATTAACAATTTGATTTTCAATTTAATCAATAAAAGTGTTCATAAAATTTAACCCTAATTGGGGTGTTTGATTCAGGTCGATTATACTATTTATCGGCGAATTCAGATTTTATAAGGAATTGAGTAGGGAGAAGAGGAGAAATCAGAAAAGGGTAGAGATTAGAGATGAAGAGAAATCAAAGGAAGGAGTTAATAAATTACTCAATTTGTGCAAGATTTCTATTTATTGTAATAAAAGGATAGCAAATACTCACAATTCACGACTCTCGCCATTGTCGCCGCCGTGGTCGTCCCACTTTTATAAGTTTACTAGTTTATCACAGAGAAATGAAAAGGAATAGGGTTTTTATGTTAGATTTTGGCATTTCGTATAGGGATGGCAATGGGGAGGGGCAGGTTTAGGCTTGTGCGATTTGCGGGGCGGAGTGTGTTGATTTTTTTAAAAGAGATTCTTTGCGGGTTTGCGTAGGGGTGTTCAAAATCGAACCGTAACCAATAAATCAACCATAAAATTGGCTTATTAGTATTGAATTATCAAATAAATGGTTGGGGAATGGATTAATATTTTATAATTAACTATTCAATTTCCTTATCAAGTAAATCATTAACCCGTTAAGAGTTACCAGACTTACATTTTTATTCTAGTCATATTAGCATCATTCAATATTTTACCATGGTAAGAGTAATTATATGTCTTTCTTTTATTAGTCCTAACTCCCAAAGACTAAAGACATAAAGCCATGAAAACCTATTTACTTTTCTATAATTATCTATTTTGCTTTAAAGAATAGAGAACAAGTCAACAAACTGTCTGGGTATGGAGAAAATTTTGTTGGGAGTGTCACCCCGAATGGGCCCTGCAGAGCGCGATTCGAATTTAGTCAAAGCTCCATTGTCGACTCCGGACACCGAGCGGCAAACCAAAAAAAAAAAAAGTCAACAAACTTAGAAAAGCACTGTACATGAAAAGTCTGCATCTATTTATCAAGTCATTGACAAAGA